TGCTTTTCTGTCTTTAGAGGGGAAGACCAATGGTTTGAACACTAAGTAGAAGGGAAAAACTCAGTGTGGTTGGATTCCCTGGGATGAGGAGAGAGAGCTCTACCTTTCAGTCTTTCTTGGTCAGTCTCTTTGAGTTCCTCTCCTAAATGGCTCTCAGCCTTCCTTCTGTGTAGGAAAATGGAAGTGATAACCACAGAGAGGCAGAGGAAGCCAGTGACATTATGCCTGGAACAAAATCATCCCTCAGTGAGAACCTGTTTGTACTTGAAGGAGTCTGTCTTGGGTGCCTCATACCTCTCTAGTTTTAAATCTTGATTCCACCACTTAAAGGTGTGGAACCTTAGAGAAGTCACTTAAACATTCTAAGTCTCACTCTCCTTCCATTATATAGGAATACTTACAGTATCTTATATATTGAGTTAATATGAAATAAGATAATCCAAGGAAAATACCTGGTACATAAAAAATACTTGTCAAATGTACTTCTTTATATTGTTATTTTAAATGAAGAGTGTCAACTTTCATCTTGTGGTTCACTAATGATGAAAAAAACTGCATTAAATGTTTTCAAACAAATATGTCATGGATTACTTTGCACGATTTTTAAGAAGGCACAGGAGTGTATTCTTACATTAAAAATAAATAATTTCTTTTCTTCTAAGGGTTACTAATAGTGCTTGTTGCCCTGATGGAGGTTGTGAAGATGGAGTAGGGAATGAAGTTAAGCATTCAGGAGAATGTCTGCTCAAATTGTGTGGTCTATAAATGTTGCCTGTTTCTATTATATTCAGGCATCCTTCTCATACTAAAATGCTATTTGAATTTTCAGTGAATTATTGAAATCTTCTGAATCTTTTACACACTTGTAAATTGTTATACTTATCCTTATGTGAGATAGTTAAAAAAACTATAGGAGAGAGTTTGGGGGAGGGAACATAGGTGTACATATTTATAGTAACTGATATTTTTTCATTGGAGGGAGCAAATAGTGACTATCTGTTTAACCTCTTTCACAAAAAGGATGGGGATTTTGTTATACATTTTTTAGGATTTAAGACATTATGAATTAAATTGATGGGAATATCCAGGGCAGGCCTAACTTGTGGTGATTTAACCTTCTTTTCTTACACAAAAAAATATTAATTTAAAAATACACATCATACAAGGAGTAAAATAAACATAAGGGTGTGAATAAGGCAGATGATGAGAAATAATGAGCATGCTCAACCTTTCATAGAACAAACAGTTATGACTACAATGGATTCTGAAACTAAGCCAAGCTCTGGTAAGGTGTCATAGGTTCTGGTAATTTACAACATGAACAAATATAGGAAACACATGAAGTCAACATGAGAAAGTGATGTGCAAATATATAATTAATAAATGGCAATATTTGAAAATATAGTGGCTACTAGAAAAGAGAGTTGTCTTAGATTTATTTGTAAAAGTAATACTTTCTTATTCTGAAAAAAATATTACAGAAATATGCAAAGCAAGAAGAGCAAGTTCCTGTTCACTGACCCTCTGCCTCAACCTTTTCCCAGGGGTAGGCACTTGTTTGGTGTGTATTCTTCTAGATATTTTCTGCAAATGTTTTACATATATCTTATCTACTTGTATGTCTATTTCTTTTTTTTTTTTTTTGGTACTGAGGATTGAACTCAGGACCTTATGCTTGTGAGGTAGGGAGAGGCACCACTGAGCTAAATCCTCGGCCCTGTATGTCTATTTTTATATCAACATTTATATGTACAATTATAGAGAATTCTTTTTGAAAGTTGATATTCTTAATGTTGAAACACTTCAGGTAAAGAAGATGTGTGTAACTGCTATCAACCAGCTAATTAAAAGTCTTGGTAGTAAGCATTTCTAGGAAAGAGTAAGCATCTATTGAGAAAATCTTTATCACTACCATAACCATGAGCATAAAGTACTTTATAGTTTATAAAACACTTCTGATAGGGTATCTGATTCGAGTCCCATAATAATCACTATGGTAAGACAGATAAGAATTATAGTTTTCATTTATAAACATAGAAACAAATGCCTGAAATGATGAAAAGATATACTCTAAGGGTCACTCTAAATCTTTGTTTTCACCATATCAAGATACTTTCGGTTGGAAAATCATTGGTGTTATATTGGACTGGACATCACTTTGACTATGTAGTTAGTAGATGCAGACATTTTTATCACAGAAAATTTCAAACATATAAAAGTAGAGAAGAGTAAAATGAATCCTTATGTATCCATCATCCAACTTCCACAACTACTAACCTTTTGCCAATCTTTGCATTTCTTGTTAAAATATGAATCTGGAAATACTGGTGATGATGGAAACTAAATTTGGTGATCACAGGCTGTAATTTAGTGTTTTCAATATGAACAATGTGTAATCTGTGTGTACAAGCCCAAAGAAATAGCCACAGGCACAGAGTACTCTCAGATCAAACTAATCTGCAGTAATAGTGATGTTGTTGTGATGGCTTTTCATTTCTGCTTATTTCAGCCTTATTTTACCCTTATTTTCATCATTGTTCATAGTACAGTGCATAGAGCACAGAATATGCTAAACTATTGTTGTGGAATGAAGGAATTGTATCTGCAGTTTAGATCTTGGCTGCATGAAGCACGTTCATGCATTATAGTATCATTAACCTTCGCAGAATATTTTTTAAGTTATCTGGTGCTTGCTGTGACTGAAACCCTTCGAATGCTAGCTGCTGAGGCCTATTCTAAGTGCTTTACATGCAGTAACTCATTTAATTCTTGTAAAAACCCAACGAAGAAAATACTATTAGAATCTTTTGCATGTTGCATAGAAGAATAACCAGTAAGTTGCTCAAGACCCTACAGCTAGTAAGTGAAAGGTGTGGCAGTCAAAACCAGGTAGCTTTGGGTTTTTTCAAAACCAGTCAAAACCCAGAGTTTGTGCACCTGCCTCAACTTACCAGCCTCTCCAGATGCCTGAATACAACCTGTGGAACAGTGAATATGCTTGGGACACTTTGCTGCATAGTGGCCATACCCATATTGCCAGATTAGCCCACAAAATCATTCCTTTGCAATGCACCCTGATTAGAGGCCACTGAACATGGAACATACTTTTTTTTTTTAAACAGACTTTGCTATTTTTCACAAGCACAAGGCACTTTGAAGTTCTAAGTGGGAGGGCAAGTGGTAGACTGATTCCATTGAGAACCTGCTAAATTCCGATCCTGCAGCCATCAAAGATGCATCATTTCCTCTAAGACTACTAAAGCGGGTGGTTACCCTGGCTGCAGATTCTCATTTGCACTCTGAGAAGAACTATCTTCTTAAGTGAGACATGGAAGAAGTGTCATGAATTGTAAATAAAGCTGCAGAGAAGAACTGTTTGGAGACGGAGGTGTAGAAACAAACATCCTTTCTCCAAATCAGGATCCATCTCCTTCCCTTCATCCTGCTCTGCTTTATTTCACCCATTCTAGTTTATCTGCTGCATGGACTCTCAGGAAGAGGTGTCTTAAAGCTCCTTCTCTCTTCCCTACACAAATACCTCCCATATAAATACTGGTACACTGACACAGTGGAACCCCATTAAAAAGAATGAGATGGACATTTAGGGTTGATCTCCAAGGTGTATATCAAAGTGAAAAAAGCAAAGGCTCAAAACAGTGTTTATACAAAACTGCCATTTGTGGAAAGAAGAGTGTGATATAACCATATTTACATGTCCATAGAACCTGCGTGAGAAAATGTTTGCCTCTGCCAAAGGAAGGTCTTTCTACAAAACTTTAAATATTTTTTTAAAAACCATATACATTCATTACGTTTCAAGACAGTGTTAGAATATTTCAACTGTCAACCTGCAAAAGTAGGAGAGTAAATACAATAAAGATTTTAAAATAGAGGGTGCACGACAGCAGGTACAAATGATGTATAAGTAAAATTGATGTCTCTTAATCTAGCAGAACGATGGCCTCCCAGATGTGGAGAAAAAGGGAGAGAACTCAAGAAAGAGCAGATGTTGTCAAGAAGGAATCAGAGCGCCCCTCCAAACAGCGCCACACGACGGCTCCTACGCGAGGACCAGGTTGCGAGGTTTGGTCACGCAGTGACCTGGGCGGGCGGGGTCTGGGAGCTTTGACTCAGTTGCTCTAAAGTGAAGTCCCCAAGGGTAACTCAGCTGGAACTTCTGCTCTGAAAATGGGCCGGCCAAAGCCACTCTGGGGACTCTTCGTCCGGGAACACGGTGGACAAAGGCCCTCTCCCAAGGATAGCTTCCGGAGATGGACTTGCGCGCTTCCTCCTGTAGGTCTTTAGCCGGAGCCGGTCAAGAGTCCCAAACCGAAATGCTTTCTGGGGCTACGCAGGTAAATCCAAATATCTGAAGCTGCCAGGTAGAAGAGGAAATAGCGGGGACGCGGGCAAACTGGGCAGGTGCATTTTCTCCTTAAAGGCATTCAGATCGGGATTTTAAAACCGCAGTTGTGCTGGCCAAACAAAACTCTCTAAAACAAACATTAATACAAAACTCGAAACTACTGGCTGAGTCACTGCCAGTTTACAGTCCCATATGTGGCTAGGATCAGTCTCCGCTTCTCGGTAGTGGCTCCAACCTGTTGCGGATCCCCGGCCACTCGGAACGCGCGCGGTCCCGCAGTTAGACCCACCTGGCGGGGACGCAGCGCCCCTAGCTGGGCTCCGGGATGCTCGCCAGATCTCTGGGGCCAGCCACGAACCTCCGAGTGGCTCAGAGCCAGGAACGGGCTACATTTTATTTCCACCAAAAATGGTATTGTTGCGCCCTGACGCTCTACCCGGGGCAGCCTGCTGCGAGGCGCAGTCGGTTCGGGGCAGGTGGAGAGAGTCGACCACGGGTGGGCGTGGGGAGCAGAGGACCCCCGCCGGGTGTCTGGGCGGCGGGGCGGGCCGGCCGCTGGGCAGCCCCGCCCCAGGGCCCCGCCCCCGCTCTCTAGTGTAGCTGCCGGCCCTCCCACCCGGCACTGAGTCCTGGGACTCGGGAGAGCCAGCGGAGTTGGGCGCTGCTCTTCCTAGGCCTGTGCGCGTTCCTTGACGCTACTGAAAGCCCAGATCTCGTCTCTCAGGCAGGATAACCTCTCCTACCCGCAGCCGCAGAGGCCCCCTCGCCCTGCGCCCTCCGGGTTCCTGCGCTGCGGCCCGCGTTCCACCTCCGCTCCCTCTTTGCGGGACCGGCGCGGAGAGGGAGAGGGAGGAGAACCCGCGCTCGAGTCCCGGGCACTGCGCAGCGCGAGGTGCAGGATGGAGAGCAAGGCGCTACTGACCCTCGCCCTGTGGTTCTGTGTGGAGACCGGGGCCACCTCTGTGGGTAAGGGGCCCACTCACTAGGAGGAAGGTGGAGAGGTCGGGTGCGGGGGGGGGGGGGGGGGGGAGAGCTGGGGATGCGAGAGGATCGAACTCAGATCAGCCAGAGTCGGAAGAAACTTGACACTGTTCTTTCACTAACTGGTGAGGAAACTGAGGCCCAGAGACCGACCAACGTTAGAGAATCGGTGGTCTCCTGAGCTGTCGTCCAGCTCCTTTTCCACTGTGCTGGTTTCGTACTGGGGATCGGGTCCTATGGAGCTTCCCCACTGGCCTCAGGGAGAGTGAGGGCTGGCGGGCGGGAGGAGCCCGCAGGCGAGCACCGGCGGCGAAGTGGTCTGGCGGCTTAGCATCCCCGTCTCGGCTCCGGGAAGGGAGGTGAAGGGTGCGCCCTTCCAGCCCGGCTCGCAGGTTGCGCTGGGCTCTGCACCCGCCGGAGTGGAGCCGGGACCCAGACCCCCTGTTCCCCTTTAGCTCAGTCCGGCGCGAACACACCTACTATTTGGGGTGGGATCGGGATGAAGGGAGCCCTTTTTTTCCTTTCTTAGTGCAGGACACCGCTCTCCTCCAGACAGAGAAAGGGGAGACATTGGAGCTTGTTCTCAGATCTGGGACAGTGTCCCCGAATTTCTCCAAGTAGCAGTCAACTTTCTGAACAAAACATCTTTCAAAGGACATTGGTCTTAGCATGGACGCATAGTCAGAAGCTCAAGCTGTGAAAACCTTTGTGGTTCTTGGTACCTAGAAGTAGATACCTGAAGGAGTTTGTCTCCTTCAAGATTAAGAACACACACACTCGTGGTGCATTACTTCTGTGCTCTCCTCTCGTCCTCCTCCTCCTCTTTTTTTTTCCTCTCTCCTCTTCTGCCTCCCTCTCTCATTTCTTTTCTCTTGGCCACAGTTTGCAGATTTCCACATTTCTACATTTTGGAGGCATAGAGGATACGGTCCAAAGAAGGAAAATAAGTCAAATAGTTCTGCAAAAAATTCCTTATATCAAAAGAAAAGAAATGCATGTTTTAAACAAGATACTGGCACTCATAACAGTATCAAGATCATCTGTCTCCTGTTATTGAATTTTCTTAATAATGACTTAGTTCATCAGGGCCGTTCCACCAGGGACACTCATTTGTCCCTGACAAGCCCTTGCTCTCCCCCTCTTTGGGGAAGAGAATGAAGGTCTGGAACATGTGGTCGTTCAGTATCCCACCAAGCAGCGAGTTGCTTTTAAGCCTGGGGTGTTTCATAATGCAGCAGTAGTAACGGTAATCTGGTTGCCCTGAATATAATGGTGAGGTTGCCCTTTTGGAGTGTGTGACTTGCTTAATTGGATTGAGCTATAATTGGTGCCATCAAATTTTAGAGACAGAGCCACTGTTGTTTTTCCTTCCTGTCTTTGCACTGGAAGGGTAACAGTGCCCAAATTAATATTGGTTATGGGATTTGAACATAAAGGGCTTTTTATTGAGTAGTAGCGTATGTATCTCTTGCAGTCATTTTATTTAGAATTTTTTGAGGAATTGAACTCAAACTTACTGATGAAAATGAACGAGGCTTAATGGAGCCCCTAAAATTGTGTTGGGCTACAGATATAAATCTGAAGTTATTACTGACAACCTTATTGAATAGATTTTTGTTGTGCATATGCCGCCAGAATAGTGTGGAGTTGTCTTGGCTTCCTGTGAATGAAGAACGTATTTTAAAAATACTTTGCATCATTAATGTGTCCAGAGTGTGAGATTATCTGTGGCTATACTTGAGGAGAGAACTTCAAGAGTCACTTAGAGGCTGGCGGTGTAGCTCAATGGCAGAGCACTTGCCTAGCATGTATGAGGCTCTGGGTTCCATCCCTAGTCCCCCCACACTCTCCCCCAAACAATCTCTTACTTGGTGGTGAGTGGCTATAACTCACTGAGGGTCTAGTCATTTTACTGTTGTTTTATCCCTCACACAATTGTACCCAATTAATGAATTCTTTCTCATTTGGATCATTTTGTGAGTTGTATTATTATTTTCAGTCTAATGTTTCTTAGTCAAGTTTGAAATTTATTCATCCAAATGAATTGTTTCCATTTTCCTTAGAATGAGACTCCTTTATTGGAAGACATTTGTGTTGCTTTTAAACATATTGCTTTATTGTTTGCCTATGTCAGAGACACTTATTTCCTTCATATTGAAAAATATGATGCCAATGAACTGAACATGACTACCCAGAACAATAGCTACCCAAGAGTGGCCCATAGACTGTCTATAGGGCCACCCGAAATACTTTTAAAATGCAGCTATTTAGGTCTAGTACTCTAATACAGCATGAGGTTTCAGAATCGCTGCAGCAAACACAATATTGTAAATCACTACTGGTGTCAATTAGTTTCTGGGATTTATTGATGTCACTTAATTTCCAGTGTTTTTTAAAACTGTTACAGATCAATAGATCTAGTACTGTCAGCGACCTATTTTGCACATCTGTGTGGGAGTGTATACAATCAGTTGTTCATTTTGCCTTCAGTTGTTCCCATTGGGAGCCACAGATTCAATGCATTGGATAATTACACTGGATATTTGCTTATACTCTCTTTATTCATACTGTTTCATACTTGCCTTTATTCACACTCATTTCCTCATCAAAATCAATGCCAACTTAGGCGTAGGAAAGTCATTTTTTTCTTAGTTAACGTGAGTTAGAAAGGTTGAGTGCTTGCCCAATTACTTTTTAGGCTGGTATCTTGAAGATGTTGTTATTTGTTAAGAATCTAGCACAATAGATAGGCTTTCTTTCTTTGATGCTTTTTTTAAAAAAATTAATTTTATTGGTACATTTTAGGTATACAATATAATGACATTCATTATTGAAAATTTGCACCTTTACATAATCTTTCTTGGTTCTTATTTTTTCCCCCTTCCCTTGCCCTCCTGATGCTTTTCAACACCTGATAGTTCTTCCTGTTTAGTTGACGGAGAACTCAATTATCTTACTGTGAAGTGATCCATGATGAAGAATATGTCCATGGTTTTTTTCTGTTGCTGTTAAAAGTCAATGGTTTTTTCAGATTGATTTAATCTAGTCTATTTATTTGATAGTCTCCAATATGTGTCACATTATTATTATACCTCCTTCTATCTTTCCATTAAAGAGCCTTTAAGTAAAGATAGATTTCTTGTGTTCCAAGCTTGGTGTCAGGATGAACTTGGAATTTTGATTAATAAGTTGAGATTCTGCAATTGTAATTTATTAGCCTTATACTACTTTTCTTCCCGCCATATGAGAAAAAGTACATTGATATGCATGTATGTATGAAATTAGGAAACGTTTTCCTTCTTTAATTCCCCTCCTTCTATTTTAATGGACAGTCTTTATGAGCTTTTGTTTCAACCTTTGTGACTCAGTTACCAGAGGAAGTACACTAGAAAATTGATAAAGGATAATGAGGCAAGGCCATAGACACCCTCCCCCCTGCTTCAGTGTAGGTAGATGAACTATATAGAATTCTCTAAGTAGTATTCATTAATCAGCAGTTTAGTCAGATGTGTACATCCTATGTTTTATAAGGGAGTGAGATCATGAGATGAAGGTTCATTTGGTTTCAATATCCCATATCCTTTTGTAAGACCTTGAAGTTGGCAATGCAGGAAAACAGGAACTCCACCCTAACTCCATGAATTGCAGATCTGTTGTGTTGGTTTATGACCATCTGCCCATTCTTCCTGTTATGACACAGCTTGTGAACTTTTACTGGGAATGGTGAAAAGTAAGTCCCAGTTTGATACAATGAATTGCTGAAGAGGTCTTTTAAAGTATAGAGTGTGCATTGTTTATGGAAGGTGTTTCCTATTGGGTCTAACTCAATGGCAACCACACTCATTTATTTAATTTGTTTCTAGGTTTGCCTAGTGTTGCCCTTGATCCACCCAGCCTCAGCATACAAAAGAATATACTTGCAATTATGGCCAATACAACTCTTCACATTACTTGCAGGTAAGGATTCATTTTAGAATCAGATTTCCTGGATTAGAGAATTAATTGTTTATTGAGGGAAAATAATGTTCATTATGGTGTACTTATAATAGTATTGTAGTGTTGTCTATAAGTAGTGAGGTTTCTAAGAATTAATGTAATAATTAAACAATGAGAAAGATCTTCTCTTAAAAATTGTGTACTATATTGCTACTAATCTTCCAGCACACAGACACACACACACACACACACACACACCCTTAACACACCAGTACAATATCAGCCATATAGCAGACACTCAATGAGTACTGAATATGATGAAGTTGAGGCCATAGCTTGTGGAGTAGAGCTGAGGAAATTATGAACCATATTTAATTTACCCCAGAAAGGCTTTTGGACCCATTTTTACCTCTTTTGAGAACTTTTCTTCAGGGTAAAATTCTGACTGTAGGGGCAATTTAATAATAACACTGTGTGCGTGTCCTGCACGGTTATGGACTTCATGTCTTGGCTTGGTCTTCTGGATGCCTCTTATTCCACTTGTCAGCATGAAGTCATGTTACTGATTTTTGATAGCTGGGAAAACAGACATCTTTGACAAGAAGAGACATTTAAATTTTGCTTTCCAGCCAGACAGAAAGGAAGAAGAGCTAGATGACCTTGAGGTTTCATGGAGTGATCACAAAAGACCCAGAGACTTCTCAGGACCAGTATGTTTTTGGCAGAAACCATGGTAGTTTGTGACAGTGCTGCCCTCCAAGAAGAGCATTGGGGTTCACAAGAACTGGGGCAGCTTACTGAGGAACAACAGGTGGTCACAGAGTGGCACAGATCTGTTTCAGATTGCAGAGTGTAAAGGGTACCCCAGTCCCCTTCTCAAGGCCAGGTCACTAATATCCAGCCCTTGGGAAAAAACACAGTAGAAGGTGCTGTTTCTCAGGCTTTCCTAGTTCAAGACATTTCTAAGTAGATTGTCCTCTTACCTACTCTTGAAAACAAAGGTTATTTAAAATCATGAATACTGCATGTTCCCTTTTAGAACTCTGCATAAACATTTCTTAGGTTTTGAAAAAGCCATGAGTTTAAAGTAATTTCAGGAATCTGAGGCAGGAGGATCACAAGTTTGAGGGCAGACTAGGCAATTTAATAACTTATGGAGACCTTGTCTCAAAATAAAAAATAAAAGGGCTGGGGATGTAGCTAAGTGTGTAGGTCCTGGGTTTGATCCCTAGTGCCACCAGTTTTGAATTACCATCAGTAATTTCATTGATGTAGCTACAGCTTCGTGGATATTTCAGGTTTGTTGAATGATCATTAATGTTGTAGTCTTCTTAGTGTTCACTATGTTTTGGGGGCTCTTGTAGAGAAATGCTACAATAAAAGTATTCCATGTTTTAGTGTGGACCTACAACCATTTCCATGTATCATAACCTCCCTTCTTACACTTCCCTTTGCCTATTCTTACCTGCCTACTCTGGCTCCCTTGCTCTTCCCCTAGCAATCCAGATATGCACCTTCCCTAGACCATTACATTTACTGTTTCTTCTGCCTGAAAGGCTGTTCTTCTCAATATTCATATGGCTAATTTAATCTCCCTTCCATCTTCACCCTTTTATTTTCTCCACAGTACTAATCATCACTTTTTATATGATAAACTTTACTTATGTTTTCATTGCTTGTCTTCTCCAAATAGACTAACATTCCATGAAAGCAGTGATTCTTTCTTTCTTTCTTTCTTTCTTTCTTTCTTTCTTTCTTTCTTTCTTTCTTTCCTTCTTTCTTTCTTTCTTTCTTTTTTTGAAGTACTGGTTATCAAAACCAGGGCCTTGTGCATGCTACACAGTGTTCTACTACTTAGCTACATCCCCAGCCCTTAGGGCATTGATTTTTGTAGAATTATTTTCTGTGATGTATCCTGTTCTTAACAGTGTTTGGCACTAGTAGAAGCTCAATAAATATCTATTAAAGGAATGACTGTGTGACTTAATAGAAAACTTAGGACTCTGTAAGTGATGCTTGAAACTGAGTCCATGGCCATATGTCATTATCAGTGTAACTTGTCATCAGTGGTAGAAAGCTTTAAATATGTCCATTTAAGTAAATTTGAGAACTCAGCCTTCTGTTGTCTTACAAGCAACCTCATGGTATGGCATTTCACATTAATACATTCTTGGAATTAATTTTTCAGGGGGCAGCGGGACTTAGACTGGCTATGGCCCAACAATCAGAGTGGTTCTGAGGAAAGGGTGGAGGTGACGGAGTGCAGTGATGATTTATTTTGCAAGACACTCAGGATTCCAAAAGTGATAGGAAATGATACTGGAGCTTACAAGTGCTTCTACCGAGACACCAACGTGACCTCAGTTGTTTACGTCTACGTTCAAGGTAAGTGGTGGAATAGAATTAATTTCCCTCATCCACTTACGAGTTACAAAATACAATAGATACAGAAAAGAATGGAGTCCAACAAAAGGCTAGCTGTGAAAGCTGACCGCTGAACAGAATATACAAAATACTTTCTCAAGGCATTTTCTGAGGAATGACCTGCTGATTGGTTCTGGAGTTTGGGCTGCATTGCATTGCTTTTGCCCAAGTAGTTGGACTCTAATCTGTATTTCTGTAGTACATCTGTGTTCCTTGCAGGCTACAGAGACTCATAAAAAACCTTTTGGTGTTTAAGGGGAAAAAAAAGCTGAAATCTTTGAAATCAAGGAAGACTGAGAAGTGAATTATACAGAGGTTTCTGTGGCAAGATAGGTTATCTTCAGCAGTGTGAGAGATTTTCACGAGAATGCATAGGGAAATAGCCAAGGGTTCTCTAGGTTTTTTTGTGCATATATTTGGAAGGTGCAGTCAACAGAATCTGCTTATGGATTCATTGCTACTTATACTTCTAGAAAATTAATTTGCATACTCATATGAAAAATTTCTAGTTTAAAAGGCCCTGTGAAGGCTGTGTTTTGTTGTTTTCCTCTACTGTGTGACTTGATAAGGATTGCCTTTGGGATGGATACCAGGGAGGCCAACTTAATATCTATCTATATCATATAAAATACAATGTTATATTATTCAGTATTGTAGTATGAATTATGCTATTTTTTGTTTCAAAAAATTTTACACTACCTTAAATTTCTTATGAAAACCTGTGAATGACAGACTTATAATATAGCGTGCTTTTGAAGAATGTAAGAGTTGCATCATATTTTGTTAAGATATACTAAATATTTTTCTTTTCAGTGAGGGATAGATTTTTAGACATTTTATTTCACCATTTATGTGCAACTTTGCACCCCAGAGGATTTGCGGGAGGTGAAAATGACTTAGACTGTTTTTCCAGAAGCAACCTTTACAGGACAGGAATGTCATCCACTTTGGGAAACACCTTTTGGCTCTCTGTCTTTATATTTCAGTAGTGCGGTGTAGGTCAGTGCCACACACACACACAAAAGAAGTACAGACCACACTAAAATCACCTGTGCCACTCCTGAGTGGTGTGGTGTTTGAGAATTATTTTTGCTCAGAGTAAGCATAATCCAAGAAAGAATTTTGTGCCCTCCTCCTCCCCTCTACAGGATTTGAGAGCAAGGCTCAGATCTTGGAGAATTTCTGGCTCCTTTTGATCTGGCCGTCTTGGGAGATGAGGCTCTCTTAAAAGATTGCAAGGATTTCCTGTGTTCAGACTGTCCGGTAATACTAAAGATGAACCTCTCCTATAATATCTTGATATTTCCTTCTCCCCAAGTCAGAAAACGTGGAGATATGTGAAAATTCATTTCATGAGTTACAGTAAATATTTTATTTTGAGAGGATAGGTGATTGTTTGGGTTTCTTTTGTTTACTTCCTTTTTGAGGGCTACCGAAATAGAGTTTATTCACTGAATAGCTTTACTCTTAGGTCAAAGGGTTAATTTAGCTTCCAAGGCTTGCTCTGTAAGCAGGTTACATAATTTTTCATAACATGTGGATGAAAGGTAGGCAATACTAAGCAGTGATGATTCCTAGCATTGTTTATTTGTATTCTAGCAGTCTTTGGCTATACTATTAAATTCTGCTTCCTGTTTTAGCTTAATGTTCTAAGTTGAACTATCCAAGATTTTGATCATGAGATTTAACAATGGGAAAGAAAACATTGAATACAGTATCCCCTATGGACAGGTCCTTTAATTTCCCCTGTGTTCCTCACCTTACTTCCTTAGTCTTCTGACCCCATTCCCTTCAGCAATGGGTTGAGCCAGGAAGTGGGCCCTGGCCTCCTAAGATAATGGGTATGGCATGTGGGGGACTAGATTGGCTTCTTTTCTATGCTTTCCAGCTGGGAAGGAAATCAAACTTTTGCTGTTGCAGGGAATTAGCTGCTTTTCTCCTCTTTGGTTTAATTAACTCTTTCTTTACCTCTGAAAACGCTTGATGAGATGTACTGGGCATAGCAAGATGAAATGTTATCTCTGAAATTTCAAGCATGACTCTGCACCTTATCTTCTTTATTTCTAGGGAATGAAGTAAGTTCCCAGCAGTGTGTTAACATTTTATGAGTAGTGTTTGAATGACATTAAAAATCTCTGTAGTTTTCTTCAGTCATTGGTATTATGACTTTTCAAACATTTACTGTTGGAGAAATTAATAACTACTGAATCTTAATTAAATGCAGTAAATATTAATCATGATTTTAGAAAGATTCTTTTCTAAAGTCTTCACAAGCTTAAAATGCCATATAGAACATTTTCTTTAATAATTGCATCAAAATATTGGAACTTATTTTCTCTTAACTTGAAGATTTCCATTTGTTTTCATGGGATTTATTTGCTTAGAGAGAAGATGAATTTTTAACATCAGTAAAATTGTAGGCAAAATATATAGATTTAGGTTTAAATTTTAAAATAAATATTTCTTCATTTTGAAATGAATATGAAATATGATTGCAGAATAGTCTGTTAAAAATGTAGAGCCTAAAAAAAATGTAGAGCCTATAAAATATTTGTTGATATTCCTTGTAAAGGGGGTCAGTCTCATTCTGGGAGTTTTCTTTCAAATTTTACATATATACATACACACACACACACACACACACACACACACATGTAGCATATCTTTGGCCTCAGACATCTATCTTCAGCCTTACTTGCAGATGCCTTTGCCTGGATGG